TTAAATGAAACCTTTAATAAGTTTGTCTTTTCCGAGGACCTTACTTTGGGCATGCGCATTAAAAGTTGCACGTATTTCCAAAATAATCACAATTTTATACAGATTACAAAATACAAATTATACATTGTTATGGAAACAACTTTTCATTGTCATCATATTGGTCATAATCTTATTTCCATTGAGTAACGACGCTTGTTTTTTGCGTTTATTTAAAAAATTGTCTCAATTACTCCATTATCGATCGCTTTTATATAGTTAAGGATGCAAGTGAGAAGTTAATTTTAAGTTTGTGCAATTATATTTCTATTTTTTTTCGTTGGATTTTTTAAAATGAAACCTTTAATAAGTTTGTCTTTTCCGAGGACCTTACTTTGGGCATGCGCATTAAAAGTTGCACGTATTTCCAAAATAATCACAATTTTATACAGATTACAAAATACAAATTATACATTGTTATGGAAACAACTTTTCATTGTCATCATATTGGTCATAATCTTATTTCCATTGAGTAACGACGCTTGTTTTTTGCGTTTATTTAAAAAATTGTCTCAATTACTCCATTATCGATCGCTTTTATAGAGTTAAGGATGCAAGTGAGAAGTTAATTTTAAGTTTGTGCAATTATATTTCTATTTTTTTTTCGTTGGATTTTTTAAAATGAAACCTTTAATAAGTTTGTCTTTTCCGAGGACCTTACTTTGGGCATGCGCATTAAAAGTTGCACGTATTTCCAAAATAATCACAATTTTATACAGATTACAAAATACAAATTATACATTGTTATGGAAACAACTTTTCATTGTCATCATATTGGTCATAATCTTATTTCCATTGAGTAACGACGCTTGTTTTTGCGTTTATTTAAAAATTGTCTCAATTACTCCATTATCGATCGCTTTTATATAGTTAAGGATGCAAGTGAGAAGTTAATTTTAAGTTTGTGCAATTATATTTCTATTTTTTTTCGTTGGATTTTTTAAAATGAAACCTTTAATAAGTTTGTCTTTTCCGAGGACCTTACTTTGGGCATGCGCATTAAAAGTTGCACGTATTTCCAAAATAATCACAATTTTATACAGATTACAAAATACAAATTATACATTGTTATGGAAACAACTATTGGTCATAATCTTATTTCCATTGAGTAACGACGCTTGTTTTTTGCGTTTATTTTAAAAATTGTCTCAATTACTCCATTATCGATCGCTTTTATATAGTTAAGGATGCAAGTGAGAAGTTAATTTTAAGTTTGTGCAATTATATTTCTATTTTTTTTCGTTGGATTTTTTAAATACCTACTCGTAAAAATTACTAGAAAGTGTTTGGTGTGTGGAAGTTCTAATATAAAGGTCGCCGAATTATCTTTTCATAGGCAAATACAATATTCAGTTGTTCCTTTATTTATATTAAACCACACGCATACATTCTGGTTAGATTTACTAAGTATATTGATGTTCGTATGGAGTGGCTAAATGCATTTTTTATATAATTTAATTTTTTGCGACAGTAAACATTCAATTTATCGTTCAAATATATGCATTTAACAAATCGATTTTTTAAAATTAATATTCAAATTTGGCGCGTGAGCGATAGGTCTTCGACAAGGATAGGGTAGAAGGACAGAGTAGAAGCACCGCGTGTGCAACGAAAAAAAGAAGATATATGTAAGTCGGTTATATGTTTGCGACTGTTTCCATAGTCATTTACGTATCCACGTAAGTGCATATGATCTAGGGTTACAACATTGTGACATGCATTCGTGATGAGGAACATGCCAACTTTTATTTATTTTTCTATATAAACTCACCGGCAAAAAAAACCGGCTCGGGCAGCCACTAAAAACTAGTCCCAATTTCAAAGTTGGATTTCTCGCGAACCACTCCTTATTAGATTTTGATGATTTTTTTTAAATTGTAAATTAATTCCTTCTTAACGGATGCTACGTCAGAAATTTTTATTCCGAATTTATTATGAGCATATACAGGGCACAACAATAAGACGAAGTTTTTTGCCTGAACTTTGTAACATAAATTTACGCATGAAATTGAGAACAACGACAGAGTACTACCATTTCTAGATGTATTAGTTATTAGAAATACTAATAATTGCCTGGAATTTGATATCTATAGGAAAAATACGGTTATATATATATATATATATATATATATATATATATATATATATATATATATATATATATATATATATATATATATATATATATATATATATATATATATATAATAATATTAATATAATTAATTATTATTATAAATAACTTAACTTAACTTATTATATAAATAATAGGGTAAACACACGCAGATATATTCGTAATGAATCACATCATAGTGTTGAACATAAAATGGCTAGTTTAAATTTCTTAGTTCATAGATTACTTAGTTTCCCACTTTCCAACGAATGATATGTAATAGAAAGAGATTACATTAGGAATGTAATGGATATTCTCCTTCACTAGTTGATAAATTAATTAGAAAACGTAGTTATAGGTTAATGATTTCTGAAAATTCGACTTTTCAAGTGGAGAAAGATACGTCTAAATATTTTTCGATACCGTTTGACAGAGGTTATCCCGTGGTCTAAAAGGAATTTTTAAGAATGTCAATTATAAACTTGTGTACAGGGTCCGGCAATAGTGCGTCGGGCATTTGTAGCTCCTAGAATAAACAACTTGAGAATTTTGTTTAAGTGTATACCTGAAGTATGTACCAGGATGTATTTCAGGAAAATATTTAACTTCTATAGAGCAGCTCAAAAAAGTGTGAGTGGCCCTGGATGATTTTTTTTAAATGGAACACCCTGTATATTATTACATTTTTGGCTTCCTTTCCGATCACTTTACATAACTCTAAGATATGAATAAATACATTTTGATAGTTTCAGAGATATTAAAAAATAAATCAAAAATATATTTTTTTCAGCCCTTCTTAAAAAATTATTAAAAATACCAAGAACTGTTCTGAAAACAAAACTATATTAGGTATTTACTTTAGATGGTTTGTACTTACTTTGCTATAAATATGAAAATCGTAAATTATACAGGATGTTCAAAATTCTACGCCAAACTTTCTCAAATATAAAATAATTTTTCTTCGTTTTTTTAAATGGAACACCATGTATATTATTTTTTCAATAGACGGAGAATTAAAAAATGAACATTTTTTGTATTTAGAGTATTTCAAAATTTTTAACGGTTTCGTAGATATTTGCGGTTTTATGTTTCATATGGCATTTTCCACGGTAAATTTTTATCAAAGCCACCCAATAATTTTTCTCTCGTATTTTAGCATTGAAAGCGCCATATGAAATAATACTGCGTGTATCTGCGAAACCGTTAAAAATTTTGAAATACTCTAAATACAAAAAATGTTCATTTTTAAACTCTCCATCTAATAAAAAAATAATATACAGGGTGTTCCCTTTAAAAACAAAGAAAAATATTTTATATTTTAGAAAGTTTGGCGTAGAATATTGAACATCCTGTATGAATTACGATTACCATATTTATAGCAAAGTAAGAACAGACCATCTAAAGTAAATACCTAATATCGTTTTGATTTCAGAACAGTTCTTGTATTTTTAATAATTTTTTTAAGAAAGACTGAAAAATATATATTTTGATTTATTTTCTAATATCTCTGAAACTATGGAAATATATTTATTTATATCTTAGGGTTATGTAAAGTGATCTGAAAGGAAGCCAAAAATGCAATAATATAAAGGGTGTTCCATTTAAAAAAAAATCATCCAGGTCCGCTCACACTTTTTTGAGCCACCCTATAGAAGTTAAAATATTTTCCTGAAATACATCCTGGTACATACCTTAGGTTTGCACTAAAACAAAATTCTCAAGTTTTTTATTCTAGGAGCTACAGATGCCCGACGCACTATTGCCGGACCCTGTATAGTGCTAATAATAAATTACAACAATTATTAGGTAATTCAAAGGATAAAATACCTCCATTGGAAAGGTCGGGTATTTATGAAATTTCTTGTAAAAATTGTAATCAGAAATATGTTGGGCAAAATAGAAGAACAATATTTACTAGATTTAAAGAACATTTAGCTCAGATAAGATATGGTAGACCGGATAAATCTTGCGTTGCCGAACATACTTTTGATAAAGAACATTGTATAGATCTTAACAATTTAAAATTAATTAAACAAGTCTCAAATTACAGGCAATTAGATGCATATGAAAGCATCAGAATTAATAAATATAAAGATAGTATGAACAGAGACAACGGTCCAATTCCTTCAAGTTCTTTGGAGGTGGAAATGAAGTGGTGGAAATCTAACTGTTACTAGTGTCTGGAAGAAAACGGAAGACAAATGCAATTGACGACCGCTTTATTATCCTCAATACTTTACGAAATCGTAGAATTACAGCGTTTCAGAATCAACATCTGCTACAAGCCGTGCGTAGAACTCAAGTCAGTGAGAGAACAATCCGACGAAGACTAAAAGAAAACAGCTTGTCAGCAAGGAGGCCTGCCACAGGACCCCAACTACTTCCAAGAAATCGTCGAGCACGTCTTCAATTTGCGCGTTTACATGTGAATTGGTTTGGTCGCGGTTTTGCCTGCAAAGCATTTTTCCGCGACGTTCGTTTTAAAGCAGCGTATCTCCAATACAAACAGAGATAATGTCGTGATTAAAAAAACAAAATGCTCACAAAAGATGAGGCTACAGTGATTTGATTACTACAGCTGCAATAGCTACTATAGCTGCTGCACCCTATAGGGTGTCACTAAGTTGGAGCAAAAAACTTCGTATTATTGTTGTGCCCTGTATATGCTCAAAATAAATTCGCAATAAAAATTTCTGACGTAGCATCCGTTAAGAAGGAATTAATTTACAATTTAAAAAAAAATCATCAAAATCTAATGAATGGTTCGTGAGAAATCCAACTCTGAAATTGGGATTTAATGGCCGGTTTTTTTTGCTGGTGAGTGTAATATCGATGCAAATTAACAAATTACCTGCTAAAGGCGGAGAAGATACAGCTCCAGAACCACCGCTCTCTGAACTCAATCTCTTTCTCTGCTTCTGAGACAGTTTGGGCATGCTGCGCCTCGCGTCCGATTTGTGGGCGGTGTTTCGAGACGCCGAAGCCTTCTGCGCACTGCTCAGCAGCGGAAACTCGTACTCGTCCACGAAGGAACCGCTCAGACTCTTGGAACCGTCCGATTTATTAAGCGCCGTAAAATTTTCTTCGTCACTTAAATCCAAATTCCGCGCAGCGGTTATGGCCTTGACCCGACGTCCAACCAATTCACCTCCTGGCGTTAGAGAAACACTGTTTAAACTTGTGGATAAATCGGGATCATTCGTAGAGCTGGAACTGGCACCTGAAAACTACTTTTCGTAAATACAACAAATAGCCCAATCAAATTAGACAAATCGTTGGAAATAAATCCCAAAATTTTGAAAATGGTTTTAATTGATTCCTCTAGACTTGGACTGACATGTGTCAAAAGTCCCCGAAGATAGACGATGAGCTCGATAGCTTATATCTCGGAAAATATGACACTTACGAAAAAATATCCTATATACAGGGTGAGTTTCCTACGATGTTCTCTATGGGTATCTCGGAAACTACTGGAGATAGAGAGTCAGTTAAATGAGGAAAGAACTGCAGTTTTGTGGGGTCATAAATATGCGCCTTTCAGATTTTTGAAAAAGTTAGTCCCCAAAGACCTTAGATATTTCGAAAAAAAGAAATTTCGGCTATTTAAAAAATTGTCCCTAATTCCATTATAAGCTATTTTAGACAAAAAATTTTCAGATAAAAATTGTAGATAATCATATCCTTAATGAGACTGTGCCCTGCGTTTTTTTCCAAAGCCTGTCATTTTTGATATATGACACAAACATATGTTTTTTTTAAATGGAAACCATAGTTGGCCACGACTTCATAAAAAGCGCCATTTTTTAAGCTTTTCAGCGATATAAGCTATAATATGTTTTTTTTTCGAAAAATTACTGAGTTATAGCCAATTCTTATCATTTTTAAACAATTTCACTTAGTTAGCCATGGAAAAAAGTTTAATCGTCTTTGTTCTCATAAAGTGAAGCTGTCACATCCAAACTTTGTAAATTAAAATAAACAAAAATTGTAAATATGAATTTTTCAAATGAAGAAAGGCGTGCAGGATTATTGGTTCGACATTTCTTGACCATACATTTTCGAGGATACGTTGACCGGTGAATGTTACGTTTTTTAGAGAACGGGTTTCAAGACATATTAGAAAAGTTAAATTTAGTTATAGCCAATTCTTATCTTTCTTGACTAATTTCACTTAGATTCCATGGTATTCTTATTCTGTTATGATTTATAGCTTAAAAAAAATCAGAATATATTACTAAACGGTTCTTTACAATTTACATTGAATTACAGCGCCAAATAATAAAAGCAGCCAAACCAAACTAAAACTTAAAAAAAGTAATATCACTACATACACCCTAAGTAATTATAGAAAATGCTCAAAAAATCCGCCATTGTTTTGAGTTGCATCTTTTTAAAACTGAATTACTACCTATTCTCACAGAAGGACCGCTGGACTTAATTAAACTTTTCTCGTACCGCCACTTCAAGTGCCTCTCTTAATTCATTAGTTCTTTTGTAAACCTTATTGTTAACTATACCGCATAAAAAAATCTAAAATAGATAGGTCAGGTGATCGAGGAGGCCCATGCAATTAGCCCACCTTTTCCTATCCCCTGCGTTTGTATAATTATGATATAAATAATTTTTAACATTTCTTTCATTATGGGGGTGGTGTGTCATAATGAAAGTAATGTTGGAACCACTCTATTGATGTGCGAGATCTACACGCCTTTCTTCATTTGAAAAATTCATATTTACAATTTTTGTTTATTTTAATTTACAAAGTTTAGATGTGAGAGCTTCACATTTCTGAGAGCAAAGGTGATTGAACTTGTTTCCATGGCTAACTAAGTGAAATTGTTTAAAAATGATAAGAATTGGCTATAACTCAGTAATTTTTCGAAGAAAAGATATTATAGCTTATATCACTAAAAAGCTTAAAAAATGGCGCTTTTTATGAAGTCGTGGCCAACTATGGTTTCCATTTAAAAAAACATATGTTTGTGTCATATGTCAAAAATGACAGGCTTTAGAAAAAAACGGAGGACACAGTCTCATTAAGGATGGGATTATCTACAACTTTTATCTGAAAACTTTTGGTCTAAAATAGCTTATAATGGAATTAAGGAAATTTTTAAAATAGCCGAAATTTGTTTTTTTCGAAATATCTAGTAAACCATGAACTTTTTCAAAAATCTGAAAGGCGCATATTTATGACCCCACAAAACTGTAATTCTTTCCCCATTTAACCGACTCTCTATCTACAGTAGTTTCCGTGATACCCATAGAGAACATCGTAGGAAACTCACCCTGTATAAAATTGAAGCCCAGAAAATTCTCTACAAATTTGTGTTGGTTTTGATTCTTTTAATTATCCAAAAATATAAATTAAAATAAATGAACAGAAAACATTATCTATGCTAACAAATAACCTGCGCAGTCAAGGAGTGATTTGTGTGAACGCCATCACGTCTAAAATTTATAAAATCACAGTATATACTAAAAGTTATACTTAATACTTAAAAAATCATGGATATCATACTTCTCCAACGCTATTTGAACGAAAAACGCGCAATGAAAATAAATGTGTTTGTACGGATTTGGAATATGCCATTTGATTTAGTATCCAAATTTATGAAGGGCGTAGTTCGGATACCATAAGTCCGGGAACAAAAATGTATAGATCATTTTTATAGAGAATTTCGTCGCCTTTATTTTTGTATATATAGTGTTTTTCGGTAGATGGTATAGTTTCCGAGATATAAACAAAAAAGTGAAAAAATTGACACTTAACCCTCCCCACCCCTCGAGCTCATCATCTATCTTCGGGGACTTCTGACACATATCAGCCCAAGTCTAGAAAAATCGTTTAAAACCATTTTCGTGGGAACTTTTGGATTTTTTTTTGGAATTTTGGAACGCGGGAATTTTTTCCACCGATGTACCTTTTTTTTAATTAATTTGACTGGGGTATAAATACTTTTGTATTTAAATGGATGTAATTAAGAAATAAACTAAAAGTTTTGAAGTGTCTCATTTTTACACCGCTTGACCCTACAAGGATATTTTCCATGAAAACTTCAAATATATTTCAGTGGCGGCACGTGACCCGTGTGACTGGGTAGGCGACAACATTTTAGTTGCGTCTATTTGCCCCCCCCCCCCCTAATTTACATAATACCCTCAGTTTGTAAATATATGTTATCTCTGGGTTAAAAAATAATTAATTTGGTTTATCGCTCAAAAATATTTAGGACAAAACTAAAGTAAAAATATCAGCATTCAACGTAATGACATAATGAGTGACATAATGTACAAGTATAGTTTTTATTAATCTATTTTACCTATTATTTTTTTTTATCTATTACTATAGAGTCACTATGGAGTACATCATAGAATAATTTTATTTTATTTTTATTTATTTACGCAAACTTAAAAATTGGTAGTATTGAGAGAAAGAATAGTTGTGTTTTATATATTAAATTGCTGAGTCGGTTTCTTAACCCTTAACTACTCCGGCGTCGTCTGACAGACTACGCCAAATAAATTAACTCATTCTCATTAGTTACTGGGGCCGCCTACAGGATTGGCGTTCCAGCTAATCCTCCCCCTTACGGTCAACAACTGATAGCCATATTTATACCCAAACTGGATTAGTTTTTTAGAAGTTATGGCAGAAGTTACTTAAGCCGTAGTCTCTCAGACTACGCCGGACCGTTTGTGTAAGATTTTGTGTGTGACAAACTTTTGTAAAATATAGCCGGGTCTTCGAAAAAATGCGTTTAGGAGACTCTAGTTATGAAGAAACTCTATTAAAATGATATGATGAGGACTGTGACAGTGACAATCTGCCAGACAAATGCGTTTGACAATGTCAAATATTCCACGAGAAATACACTTTACAATTGGTAGAATACTTCCAATTCCTGTACAACCAGAAAATGCCTACGAAGATATTCTTATCCTAGTTAAAGACAGTTCTTATCCTAGTTAAAGACAATGTTATGTCCTAGTTAATTATTTTTAATGCCTAGAATGTACGATTCCATTGTGTAAAACATGTTTAGGAAAACAATGAAATTTGCCTCATGCTGTAACTAAATTTTTTTTCTTAACTCCAGTTTTATAACTTATTTTTTTTATATATAAAGTATTAAAAACTTATTTCTATATTGTAATGACTGTTAGTAATTTGGTTTTATTTTTTAGAGCTTGGTAAAAACCTAATTGATTTTTTTTCAAATTTATATGTATGTTATTTTATTTTGTACTATATTTTCTTAAAGTTAATATTAATTGAACCCATTTTTGTCTAGATTAGTTCAATAATACGTAATATAATATATAATGAAATAAAAATTTGTTATTTTTTAGTTTTTCTGCGTTTTTTAAACTTTTTAGAAGGCGTAGTCCCACAGACTACGCCGGACCGTTTATGATACATATCTATTACCGGACCAGTTAAGAGTTAATAAAGAATTAAATATTTTCTTATTAAAGTTATTTATTATTATATCAGTAAAATCATCAGATTGTTGAAGCGCTTTGAAAAGATCTTTTTAGATTGAAAGTAAGGCAAGTGGCGATAAACGTTTATTTTTCATAGAATCTCTACTATAAATTTTATAATGCATTTCAAACATGAAAAATGTCTCTCAACCCAAGTACAGGGTGTCCCATTTGGGTTGATATCATACGGTATCTCCGTTATGCGTGAAGATAGAAGGATGCGGTTTGTACAAACCTGTCCCACTTTTTTGTCAAACGGAAGATACCGTAAACAAAATTTTCATAGCCCTCTTCGTTTCTGAGCTACAGGATCTTTTTGAAAATTTTGCAATATGAGACACCCCCTGTATCTCTGTTATTGTTAAAGGTATTGAGACGGTGAAAACTGTTTATTGTAGAACTTTCTACGTAGAATACAGTGGCGTAGTCTGTTATTCTACGAAAAGAATATTCTTAAAGATATAAACTAAAGTTATGTTTTCTTAAATAGAACACCCTGTATATTTATAAATTATATGATCTGGCTGACCATAAGCTTCTCTAAAATATATAACACTCTATATTTATTTTCATTATTTAATGCAATATTTAAAAAAATATATTAAAAGATCATATTTTATTAGTAGGCCATGATTGATAATAAAAGAAACTAAAGAATTATTAAAAGTAATACTGCTATCTGTCTCTTGTTTTATTTTGAGAGTCACTAATTAATTATTTGTATATTAGGGAAACTTAAATCTCTACCGCTATTTGTAAATCTTGGAAGTTATTTTTAGCTAATTTTTACGTGAAATATACTTTCACCTAGATGGGGCTCCCCCTTACATCTTAACTTACAACGAAAATATTCGAGTTTTGTTATATTATTATTTCTCAAATCAATGAATTGGAACCAATGTACCCATATGATGGCCTCCCTGATTCCCGGATTTGTCCGTTCTCGATTTCTGATTTTGGAGATTTTTGAAATATGAAATATCGTGGCAACTAATACGATGTCGAACACCTGGAAAATGCTTTAATAATGCAAGCTTTTAGATATTTGCAAACCCATCCCATTATAATAAATTCTGTTATAAAAAAGAGAAAAATATATAACAGTTCAAAAGTAAAATATATCATGTGTATGTCTATTTTAGTAAATACCATTTTGATTTTGTTATTTATCACGGCCTACTAATAAGAAAATGATATATTTTAAATATTGCAGTAAATAGTGAAAATAAATATATAGTAATATATATATTTGAGAAGCTCATAGCAAGGCGGATTATATGATTTGTAAATATACAGGGTGTTCCATTTGAAAAAACATAACTTTAGTTCATATTTTCAAAAATATTTTTTTCGTAGAAAAACAGACTACGCCACTGTATTCTATGTAAAAAGTTCTACAAGAATCAGTTTTCATCTTCTCGATATCATCCATAATAATGGAGACACGGGGGCTGTCCCAAATTGCAAAATTTTTGAAAAGACCCTGTAGCTCAGAAACGAAGAGGGGTATGAAAATTTTGTTGGCAGCATCTTCCGTTTGATAAAAAAGTGGCACAGGTTTGTGCAAACCGCACCCTTCTATCTTCATGAATAACGGAGTGATTTCAACTAAATGGTATGATTTCAACTAAAATGGGACACCCTGTACTTGTAAATGGTGTAGTACATAGACTCAAAATAAAATATAGACTGAGCATCTCATTCATAAATAGCTGGAACATGCGGTCAGACACTGTCTTGTTATTGTTGTGTTATTGTTTTAGGTTATAACGAGTGCGACACGAGCGATAGATAGGTTGTCTCTGTCGTAACGGTCGTTCCCTGACACTCTGCCGAGAAACACAACACTGTCTTTCGTTTCTCAAGTACACCTGAACTCTCCGTATCATAGCCGGGTAATTTTTTTATTTTAATGAAGCTATAATTAAATTAAAAATATATCGTATTTAAACTTTTTTATATTTTATTAAGATTTAGGACAGGTTTTTTAAATAAAAGTTTAGAAAAAAACGTCTTAGAGTCCAAAAAGGATAAAAATAATAAAATACACGTTATAGAAGAAATTTTATAATCAAAATTACGTAATTTTTGAAATTAATAATAAATTATTAATTTTAGTCAAACATTTACAACCCCTAATATTAATCAAAACAGGATCTATTCCACAGATATAATAGAATCGGCGACAGGGAGAGAAAAAAAATATGATTGTTGTAATTTTTTTTCTGGTTAAGTGATGATGTCTTATGTAAATTAGAGAAAACATAAATCTGTTCCATTAAAGCAAGGAAGATGATAGGAAGTGGATAAAATGAAAACTACATTTATTTAACTCGGTACTGTCTTTATTATACCGGGTGCGTCCCAAAAGTGGCTCATCCCCCATAATTTTTTTATATTTTCAAATAAAAAAACAAGATTTAGTATGTTAGTACATGACATAAATTAGGATTGATTGACGCATTTAATTGTTTTTGGTCACTTCCTGTTTCACCGGAAATGACTATAACATTTAATTTTTAAACGGCACCCTTGGTATATTTCTACTTTATACGATAGAAAATGACACTCTGAATAGAATGACACATCATATGTCAACTTTTGACATTCTCGCATATGGTTTAATTGTAATTGTAACACGCGGTTCATAACGACAATTTGACTCGATATACCAAGTGTGTGGTATCAATATATTCATAAAAAATGCTTTTTCCAAATATGCTAATGAGTCCCTTGTTCCCTTGTTCCATTTGAAAAAATTGACATATATATGATTAAAAATACGATTATAATTTTAATCTTTTAACCGGCCTAGACACGAAACCCATTAGACGATCAAAACTATTTTTCCAAGGCTCCTTGATTAAAACTTAGTGTTTTTAACAACACCATGGATTGAAATTTAAAATAGGATTTGTTTTTAAGCGACAATGTCAAAAGTTGACATATGATATGTCATTCTATTCAGAATATCATTTTTTATCGAATAAAGTAACAATATACCGAGGGTGCCTTTAAAAATCAAAAAGATGTAATCATTTCGGTGAAACAGGAAGAGACCAAAAACAATTGAATACGTCAATAAATCCTAATTTATGTCATATACCTACTAACATACAAATCTGTTTTTTTTATCTGAAAAAATAAAAAGTTATAGGGGTGAGCCACTTTTGAGACGACCCGGTATATTAAAAAATATTGTTTCATAATGTAATATCATTTTAAAATTCTTGTATGTTATTTTAGATTCTGAAGATAATTTTAGAATAAACCGGAATATATTTTTAATAAAAACATTATTAATTACTAACGGGGTTACAACTATGATTTTGTTACAATGTAAGTAAGTAAATAATGTAATGTAAGAGAAAAAATTCAGATTTTACATTTTACTAAAATATTATCTAAATAAGCGCCTTTCTACAACAACGCCACTGACTCCCAATGGGTAAATTGAGAGTTGCCTACCGGTCAAAAATCGTTTCAAGACTTAAATGGATTATTTAAGTCAAATTTCTTACAAATTTGGCACTGGCGAACCATATTTTATAGTTCTTGAACAGAAAAGTCAATAAAATAAACACTTAAGCAGTACAAGCTAAGAAAATGCGTTAATACAGCCGGGGAGATAGCGGCAACAAAGCTTTACCGCACACGTGCGACACGTACTACAAGGTAATAAATGAATGAATAGGCTCCCTCGCCTCTAATCGGTGTTGTCATATTGTAAAGAACTTATCCTTTTTAAACAGTATCCGACTTATAATTTAGTAGTATAAGGACTATTTAATACATCTCTGGAATATTAAAACCTACTTTATTAAACTGTAGTATTAATATCTCAATATATGTGTATAACAAGAAAAAAAATATTGATAATATTAAAGACGTGACAACATAGACTGGATGAGGAAGGCTCGGTCGACTGTACCCAGAAGTAAACATGTGTACAAAAAATATTGTCTGTCCGCGTTGAGATGTAAATAGTGTAGTCTATATTTTATTTTATGTCTATGGTGTAGTAACAAACAAAACAAACAATTTGAAAGCTCCTGGAAATATTTTTCCAGGATTATTCTCCTTAATATATTTTATGATCGAAATTATCATATCTATTATTAATACCTGCAATTTATTCATTAATTTATGTTGGTCAAAAACATTTTTTGTTCGTTAAATCACTCTTAAATACGTTGGAAGTTGGAAATGTATCAATATAACAAGTTTGTTAAATCAGATGTTATATACGTTGGAAATTTTTTATAGGGTTCTATAAATTTCGGATCCTCAAGAGATAAATAAAAATAATTGAGACATACGAGTCTAATAATTGAGACATACGATTTATTCTGCAAACCTTATTTCTAAATGTATAACAATGTTATCTAATATTTCATAAAATAAAATTCGCAAAGATATTTGACTTAGCCGCTTTTATTAACATATCCAATTGAAATAGCACAGATACTTTTCTGTAATATCTGTTGTATCCTCTTCTTGCACCGAATAAAATAACGCGCTATTTTATTTCAGATTCTTTTATTTCTATGGCGTGTTCTGAAATACAACCGGTTATATCATTTTTAATAATCTCGGACAAGCCCGAAAAATGTTTCAAATTTGCTTTAAACCTTTTATTTGAATTTTCATATAAAAGTTTTAAATGCTACGTATAATGAATCATATGAAATAGCCCCTTAACGAAATGTGATATATCTCCTTCTGAAATATCTGAATATCCCCTTAACTTCTAAGCCTACCGAGCCTCCACGACTTCATGCGAAGGCGACTGGAGATTTCGCCTCAGCCCCGCCTTAATACGATACAACTCCGACTTACGTTGCGTCGCTACCGCACGATGAGTTAGACAGACAGAAGACTGCCGTACGTCGTGCATCGACTCTAATAGTAGGCGATGTAGAAATCGCCGAACAAAGGCGCTCCAACGGTCAAAATTATTTTGTTTTCGAAGCAGCGGCACAGTCAGCGGTCAGCGTACGCCAGCGGTACTGAATATGTTAGTATACAAGACCACAAATATTAAAATAATATTGATTATTAAAACACACTTCCGTGTATTAACAGTATTTTTGTGTATTGGCAACATTAATAGTAAATAATGTAATGTAATAAACCGCTTAAATCCTGCCAAAATCTTAAGATAGGCGCCGCCTACCTTGTTTAAGGTACCACGGTAACCGAAACGGCGCGGCGTGAAATAAATTTAATCGGGCAGTTCCGATTTCTACCGTACCGGGCGCCGCTGTCGCGGTTTTTTTACGCCCAAACCCATTATGACATTAACACACCAGTTATTTTTAAAATATTTTACAGAAATGCTTTTGGGATCTAAATCTAAATAATCATTTTAAAACAATAAAAATATACCTGTGAGGGGTCTATTGAGCTCTCTGCAACTGGTACATCGTCTTGCGAACTGCTTATCCTCTTTGCGCTCTTTTTCCTTTTGACTTTGTTACTTCTAGAAACCTCGTTATCCCTGTCATTTGACATATCCGCCCATATCCCTGTCATTTGCTCAAAGGATGGCGCCGTAGAGTACGGTGTTATTTGTTTAGAACCGAATTCAAGAGCCTGCTGGTAAAACTCAGATAATTCAGCCAGAACAGCATCGTCCAAGTCCTCCAATAAACGCAACTCCAGGAAATTAGCCATGTTTAGCTGTACAAATCGACAACAATTCGTTTTTAGATAAACAGCGGCGACGGATAGAGCAAAAGTGAGCAGAGGAAGTGCATTTTTGATGGTTAAGGAATCTGCCAATGCATTCTCGCAGATCTGTCCCAGTTTTTTGACTAATGTAAGGTCGGCCAGTTTGAATATATCGCAGATTTTATCCACCTCGATTTCGTCTAATTTCTTGACAGCGTCGGTGTAGAGGAAATCAAGCAGACGATCTACAACGTCTGCCGTGAACGATAGAGTGATTTCCGATTTGTTTCTCTACAAGAAATGTTTTAAAAAATCGAATATTGACACCGGAAATCATATAAAATAACATGGATAGTGTGAAGAATGTTATACCTTATAGTCTAAGCCCACGGCCACACAGAACGCGTTTTTTCCCTTTTTAGCGTGAAGCGTCTTTAGTAGTGATGGGTTGTTATTTAACTATCTGTTATTTTATAACAATTATTTATAAATAACATAACGCAACCGTTACTACTTTTAAAAAATAACAGATATAAAATAACGACACGTAGAGATCGGCCGCTCGTGAAAGGAAAAACGAAGTCGGCGCTCTGCATCACCACGAAATTCTATGCTGCTCGAAGCAATTCCAAAAAACAACTAGTATGGATGGAAAACATGTTATTTCGTCAACCATCGATACAGGCGGCGAGACAACGGACAACGGAGTGGGGAAAGCGCTACGGCGAACGTAGCTGCTTCGGTCGATACCGTCAATGGTCGTATTTACAACAGCTTAAAAATAATAGGATATAAAAGAAGCAGGTTTTTTGAAACAGTTGAGGGCATAACGCCTGGCGGTGGAGATAACAGGAGTGGGAAAGGAACGCTGCTGCATCGGTCGATTGTCGATGGAGGCTCGCAACGGGTTGGAGAAGCAGTCATTTTAGATATGTTGTTTTTCAACCTGTTACAAGTATAACAGGGCGGCGGACGAGATAATAGGTGTGGGAAAGGAACGCTGCTGCATCGGTCGATTGTCGATGGAGGTTCGAAACAGGTTGGGGAATAACGCATCAGTTGTTTTAGATACATTCTGTTTCAACCTGTTACGAGCATAACGGACGGAGGTCGAGATATTATGGCGCTGTATGTTCAGTACTTACTTATTAAGTTTCAATATTTAGGTATATATTTATTCTGAAAATTTTCAGAATAATATTTAAAGATTTTAAAAATGTATACAGGGTGTTTTGAAAAATCTGGTCATTGATTAATCACGATCCTGCTTAAAGCCCTTGACGTAAAAAGCTGATTTTTGGAAAACGGATTGACTTTAGTGTGTAGAGGTTCGATAAGAAGGGATTTTTCGAAACTCGAATTCTAAGGGGGTGAAACTACTCTGAAATATTAGAATATTTTTTATTTAAAAACCGGTGAGTTTTTGGGAAAAACTCTTAAAACACGTATATTTTAATGTTGTTTTACATATTTTAAGATTTTTAAAAAATATATACAGGGTGTTTCATAAAATATGACCATTGAGTAATCACTATTCTGCTTAAACTGCTGGACGTTTAAAGCTGATTTTTTGCAAATGGATTGACTGTGGGGTTGAGGTTCGATAAGGAGGGGTTTCTCGAATCTCAAATTCCAACAGGGTGAAAACGCCCCTCAAATATTACAATATTTGTTATTTAAAAAACGGTTAGTCTTTCGGGAAAACGCCTGGACACGCATAATTTATTTTGTTTTTTTACATATTTTGAAATTTTTAAAAATCATACAGGGTGTTCCAAAAGTTGAGTAATTGATTAACCACGATTCTGCTTAAACTGCTCGACGTTAGAAAGCTTATTTTTGGCAAATGTGAGAAAATTTTATCCAGTTTGTATGTTAATGGAAATTCTTGTTTTGCTTTATCATCACCATTAGAAATTATTAATTCGACGCGAACGAAGTCGCGGGTACACGCTAGTTTAAGTGTAAAATTAATTCGAACTCTAGTGTGTAGTTGGTTTACTTATGAAGAATATACTACACATTTTCTTATATTACTATTTTTTGACCGCAAATGGTAAAATCATAACTAAGAGCTTCTCGCCCGTCGAGTGAGATGCACCCTGTACACTGCTACGCAATTCAGGATCTACGCGGATCGAGGGGCAGGGCGTAGGTATATACTATAGACGAGTGGCCGAATTTTGGCTTTTTATATCGCAATTTGTAAACAGCGCTTATTTGTAAATAACCACCGTTTTTAGAGAGGTATTTTAGATAACAATCGATATTTAGAAATGTTTTGACACCCTGGAAATACTACCACCGAGCACGTCATTGTTGCAACTTGCAACTGCGTTAATACGCCTGGCGATGACCGTCTCATACTCTTTCAGATATTTAGCAGTAAAATAAAGAAACCTGTTATTTTTAAGCTGTTTTTTATAAATAACTATAACAGTTTCAACTGTTATCTAAAAATAACAGTTTTGCCCATCACTAGTCTTTAGCGACTAAAACAAAATAACAGGATTATATAGGAGTGGCCCTACAAAAAGCGTGTAGCGTTCGGCGTGTCTCGCAAAAAACGCAAATGAAAACAAATCAGTTTGTTTTCTGTAGCGTCTTTAGCGATTACTAAGATGAGACCCCGTCATAGGCGGACGTAATATTTAATAATACAATAAAAATAAATTAAATAGTATGCATTTTTTTTCATTTTAGGGTAATATCTAAAAAAATATTTTTATAGAGAACATCTACTATTTAGGAAGATTCTATTAAATTCAAAAATTTGAAGGAAATGTTTGAAAAAGTGTAGGTATTTTGAAAAGTTAAAAAAGTAATAAATTAAAGGAATATTTTCTTACGCGTAAAAAATAGTTTTTTATGCGTAAAAAGTGTTTTTTTTCTGCGTAAAAAAGGGTTTTTAACAGAAACAAATAGTTCTTGAGATGTAAAAAATAGTTTTTTACCCGTAAAAATATTTTTTTTTGTGTTAAAAGGTTTTTTTTACCAGAAACAATAAGTTTTTGACGCGTAAAAAATATTTTTTACATGTAACAAATAGTTTTTACACCTAAAAAATATTTTTTTTTACCAGAAACAACAAGTTATTGACGCGTAAAAATTAGTTTTTTACGTGTAGCAAATAGTTTTTTACACGTAATTTTTTTGCGTAAGAAAGGGTTTTTACCAGTTTCTGAGGCGAAAAAAAAATTTACGTGTAACAAATAGATATTTTTACACGTAAATGGTTTAATACGCGTAAAAAATAGTTTTCTACCAGTATCAAATAACTATACCAGTATATAAATAAACTACTTGTCTAATCTAGCATCCATGTTAGTTTATATGAGTTACAGTGAAGAGAAATAGAAGTGATAACATACCCCCATCCATCTAACGGAGAACATACTGGAAAAATACTCGGATCTGGCCACCAGAACGCACTTGTGAGCACGGAGTATCGTGTTATCCGAACACTTTACCCAGACGTCGAAAAAATCCTGGAAGGCGAATCTATCAAACGTCCAAATGTCAAAAAGCGGCGGCAAAAAATCCCCTAAATCCGTTTTGACCTCTTGAAACAAATATTTTAAGTCGTCCAATTCGAATTTAATCGCCGCATCTCTAAACGCTTTTAGAACGGATTTCTTCTTATCCGATTCCTTTGGAAATTTCCCCAAACATATTTCGTTTTCTCTTCGGCCATAGATAAATCTGAGAATCTGATCGAAAATATCCGCATCGAATTTATCCAGGTCGATAGTTGGGGTTATGTTTGGGTTCTCCGATAAAACCCTTGCAAAATAGGGACTCCTGGAGGCTAAAATGTACCTGTGGGCTAAAAACTCGCGATTACTAGCCTTGATAACCACATCGACTAGACCGTCTTCTAGATCCGCTGTCTGTAATAATTCCATGAGCCCGCCGTTTAATACACTATAAATGTCCTGTTCCTCAAAACGATGATATCGAGAATTTTTGTATGGCCAACTCTACAAACAACTATTATCATAAACAATAAAGCGTCGTTCAGAACCTCGCAATTAGTGGAATAAATTAGTGGTTTCAATTACACTCATAGATAAAAGACTTATAGACTCATAGATAATATTAAATAGATAGGAAACTTATAACAGATTTCAATTTTATTAAGCTATAAAAATATAAATCGGGGACCCAATGTTGCGGGGTATAACGCTTCCTCCTGGCCAGGGTTACGGTCGAAGACCACAACGGCGAAGAAGGCGGAGGGGATGGACCTCAGTACGGCGGATTCGGCGGAAGTGACTACCCAGCTTTAGGGATAATGTATAAGCAGCAGGGAAAATTGGTCTCTTGAGTCATGAAGGATACCCAGTTTAAGGGAAGCACCCTGACATAAAATTACCTAGTCCTCCTAGTAGGGGGATAAGGCGTTGGGTCTGCAGCCCATCACTTATAAAAATTTTAAAAACGCAAAATTTCTCAACAAAGCTTCGCACCCGGATTCTCAGAAAAGTAGACGAAAATTGGCAATGAAACGGACTTTACGAATAGGAACATGGAATATTCAAGGGATAGCAACAAAGAGAGAAGTAGTTTAAAGAAATGGAACGGTACGATATGGACATAATAGCTGTTAGAACAGAGACTAAGAAAAAAGGGAAAGGTACAGAAGAGAAGGATGGATATGTGCATATATACAGTGGTGTACCAAAAGAGGAGCGAGCCCACGGTGGAATATCACTAGCAATTGGGAAGAAATATAAGAAATTTATAAAATCTTGGGACCAAATTAACCACAGACTTTTGCAGGTGGATGTTGATGTGAGAAATCATTCTTTGGTAATTATAGCAGCCTGTGCCCCAACTGACGACGCCCCAGCCGTCGAGAAGGACACGTTCTTTTTTGATTTGACGACAGCCTTGGAAAAGATTGGAAGTCGAAAGGAGGTGATCCTAATTGATGACTTAAATGGCAGAACAGGTTTTAAATTAAATGGCCCAGTAGTAGGACGCTACGGAGAACACATTGTAAATAATAATGGTGAAAGACTTATTCACTTATGCGAACAAGAGGCACTCAGGATTGCTAATGGATGGTTTCCACACAAAGATATCCACAAATATACATGGACGCAACCCACACGAAATCTAAAATCGTTAATTGATTATATAATTGTTAGGCAGAAAACTCAAATGAAAATTTCGGATGTCAGAGTTATGCGTGGCCCAGAATGTGGTACTGATCATTCCATGGTAGTAGAAAAACCTTATTTTCCCTACAAACAAAAAATGCAATCAAATGGATTGCCTGCAAAAAATGGAACTCCATTAAGTAATGTGATGTATACTATCGAAAGTTTGAGGAATGACTCAACTAAATTCTTGTACCAGATGAGACTAGCCACGAAATTAAACATAATAGGACAAGGATCTCCAAATGATATGTACGAAAGTCTGAAATGCATACATGAAGCCACAAATGAGGCTCTTGGAGAGAAAATAGTCTCCACGGGATACAGAAAAGATACACCTTGATGGAGTGAAGAACTAGGAAAGATTGTAGATGGAAAGAAGGCTGCTTATGGGAAATGGTTAAGTACACAGAGCACTCAAGACAGACTAATTTATAATGACAACAAGAGAAGTGTACAGAAGGAAATAATAAAAGCAAAGAATGAGTACTGGGAAGAAAGATGCCAAGAAGTCAACCTAGAAGCTGGAAACACAAAAGCAAATGAAGCATGGAAATGAAAAATTATCAACGGAATGCGAAGGCAACATAAAGATACTGCAGGGATGAATATTGTTCCGATCGAGGATTGGAAGACTTATTATCAAAATCTTCTGACGGAAAATAGAACCGAATCCATAAAAGATCATGAAAGTCATCCTGTTAATCTAACCGAATCTGAGCATCCAACACTAATAAGCTCTGCAGATGTAAATAAAGCCCTCCAACAAATGAAAAATGGCAAAGCCCCAGGTTTGGGAAATGTTAGATCTTTTAAAGGCTGCCCCTTCAGCAGTTTTAGAAATTCTGGCAGATATTTTTAGTAGATGTTTAAATGGAGAAGACCCGCCCAAGGAATGGAAAAAAGCGATTATTACGTCCATATTTAAGAAAGGGAGCCGACGCGACTGTGAAAACTATAGAGGAATTAGTGTCATTTGTACTGTTGCTCGACTCTATGGCAAAGTACTAAAACATAAGATAGAAGCACAAATAATGGAATCGGAAGAGCAAAATGGTTTTAGACCGGGACCAAGTACTGGCTCATGACCGGGACCAAGTACGGAGGGCTTACTGATGGCATTTTCACTCTTAAGCATCTAATCGAAAAAAGGCTAGAAAGGGGAAGGACGGTCCACTTGACATTTATTGATCTACAGAAGGCATACGATACAGTCTCACTGAGTAAGTTGTGGGTGTCAATGCAAAATTTTGGTATCAGTAGTTGGTATGTCCAAGCAACAAGAAAATTATACGAGGGTTGCAGTAGCACAGTTAAACTTGGAAACAATATTTCGCAAGAATTTCTTGTGAATAAGGGCTTAAGACAAGGGTGTTCATTAGCACCAACTTTATTTAAAGTATATTTGGAGGAAGTACTGAAGCGTTGGAAGATGAAATGCCGTGGAATGGGAATCCCAGTAGGAAAAGACACTTTATATACCTTACTCTTTGACGACGACCAGGTCTTGATAGCGGGAGACAGAGACGACTCCAGTTATATGTTTAAAAACTGCATGAGGAATATTCGAAATGGGGCCTAACAATAAACACAAAGAAAACGGAGTACATGGTAGTGGGTGATAACGAACGTGAGAATTTGGATGTAGGAATCGGCACAATTAAAAATGTCTCTACATTTAAATACTTGGTCACTTTTACAACAAATGGAAAAAGCACTCAAGATATTGCAAATAAAGTTGGTCAGGGAAAAAGAGTTATCGGTCAACTTAACTCGTTTTTGTGGAGTGATAAAATTTCCCAAAAAACAAAAATTCTACTTTATAAAGCCATTGTAGAGAGCATTACCACTTATGGCGCTGAAACGTGGGAGCCAAACAAAGTAAATAGAGAAAAATAAGTTGCTGTCTCTTGAAATGGATTTTTGGCGAAGAAGTTGTCGCATTTCAAGACTGGAACACATCTCAAATCAGAGAATACGAGAAATTATAGGAGAAAAAGAAACTATTCTCGACGCCATTGACGGCAAAATACTAGTTGGTACGGACACCTCCAACGAATGGATGATAACCGATGGCCAAAAAGAATTAATTCATGGACACCAAGCAGAGAGGCGAGGCGCCTTGAAACGATCTTGACAGCCCTCCACAGAAGCAGTGAAACGATAACAGGGTTGTTGACTAAAAAACGTAAAAATTACGCCAAGCGTTTCAAATAAAATATCAGGCCTGAACGATACGGAATCGGGTGACGATACGCCAGACATCATATATCATATATAAAAAAGACATGTAACGAACTAAAAACGTTACAATAAGACGATGCAACTGATGAATATCTAATAATATTCTATTAATTTCAGCGTATTGTAGTTTAGAGTTATTTAATAATTTATTTATATTTAGCGGGTTCTCAAATACACATAGATGCAAGAAACAAGGAGGTTCACCTCTATAATAGAATATACAAGGTGCTACAAATTCGGACTACGAGCATTTGTAACTCGGTAACCGTAATAGATACTCACATGGTAAAATTAGAGCAAAGTTGTGCTTTAGGATGTTCACCAAGATGCCATTCAAAAAAGTTTTAAAAATTTCAAGGATTGCTGAGTTTTTTGGAAAAAAAAACGGATTTTTTTGAAAATCAGTTTTATTTTTTATTCTCGTTACTTTTAAGAAAATCAAAAAAAAGTTATTGCACATTCTCATAGCCACTTTATTAGGGCTATCTGATAGTATTTTTAGATTTTCAAATTAGCTGATAATTTGTGATATACAGAGGCTAACTTGATTTTTACAGAGACTAACTTGATTTTCACATATACAGAGGCTAACTTGATTTTTTTTAAATGTGTGAATCTGAGCATCCAACACGAATAAGCTCTGCAGATGTAAATAAAGCTCTCCAACAAATGAAAAATGGCAATGCCCCAGGTTTGGGAAATGTTTCAGAAGAACTTTTAAAGGCTGCCGCCTCAGAAGATTTAGAAATTCTAGCAGATATTTTTAGTAGATGTTTAAATGGAGAAGACCCGCCCAAGGAATGGAAAAAAGCGATTATTACGTCCATATTTAAGAAAGGGAGCCGACGCGACTGTGAAAACTATAGAGGAATTAGTGTCATTTGTACTGTTGCTCGACTCTATGGCAAAGTACTAAAACATAAGATAGAAGCACAAATAATGGAATCGGAAGAGCAAAATGGTTTTAGACCGGGACCAAGTACTGGCTCATGACCGGGACCAAGTACGGGCTTACTGATGGCATTTTCACTCTTAAACATCTAATCGAAAAAAGGCTAGAACGGGGAAGGACGGTCCACTTGACATTTATTGATCTACAGAAGGCATACGATACAGTCCCACTAAGTTGTGGGTGTCAATTCAAAATTTTGGTATCAGTAGTTGGTATGTCCAAGCAACAAGAAAATTATACGAGGGTTGCAGTAGCACAGTTAAACTTGGAAATAATATTTCCAAAGAATTTCCTGTGAATAAGGGCTTAAGACAAGGGTGTTCATTAGCACCAACTTTATTTAAAGTATATTTGGAGGAAGTACTAAAGTGTTGGAAGATGAAATGCCGTGGAATGGGAATCCCAGTAGGAAAAGACACTTTATATACCTTACTCTTTGTCGACGACCAGGTCTTAATAGCGGGAGACAGAGACGACTCCAGTTATATGTTTAGAAAACTGCATGAGGAATATTCGAAATGGGGCCTAACAATAAACACAAAGAAGACGGAGTACATGGTAGTGGATGATGACGAACGTGAGGATTTGGATGTAGGAATCGGTACAATTAAAAATGTCT